CACCAGAAGTTAACGCTAATAGTTCCAGAAGGTGCGTTGATTACTGAAATAGGTTAATTCCGAATCGAATTTCTATAAGACGCACCTGCAGAAAGTCTGTAAAATACGCAGGAAAGTGATAGAAAATAAAAAAACTATTAATTAAATAAAGCAGCTGACTAACGGCGTGTAGCAAGCAGCAGCTGAGGAGAAAATAGCAGCTTCCGTTCAACTCGTTTATGGTCGCCGACAAATTAACGTCGAGTTATCATGCATGATTTTTTCACAAATTTTAAGTTGTCCTTCGATATACGGAACTCTTCAATGTTTGGTCTGAAAATTTCTTTAGAAACGTAGCTGCATAGCCAAATCAGAGAGTCAGACTGCAAGATAACGCTTATACTCAAATTGACTTAATTCAGTGGTTCCCAAACTTTTTCAGCCTGGCGCCACCTTTGGCTCCCCAGTGATTCTCTAGCGCACCCCCCCACTCGACAGACACGTATAAAAACAAACGCCTCTGTCCTGATATTTAGTAAGCTGCAATTTTAAAAGAGAAAGGTAAAACACAAGTTTGTATTTCACAAATAGAGCCCCATTTAGTAAACTAATATATTTTTACAGTTTAAACTGTTTCACCACTAGAAATTCAAGACGGCTCGGACAAATTTACGGCCGGACTCGTGGCCGGTCTCGCAGCCGGTCTCACGGCCAATCTCCAAATTCAGTGACCAAGGAATATCTCCCAATCTAATGAACGCAGCTCGATAAAGCTTTGAACACGTATTCATTAGGACCTAACGATGGTGTTTAGCTCGTGAAAAATTTTTAAATTTCACCTTCATTTGGGAGTTATACGGCGATACGGGCCGAAATTCGCCGTGATCAAAGAATTTCTTTCAAATTACTGAACAGATTCGAACGAAATTTTGAATATAAATTCCTAACTGCCAAACGGCGATTTTTAGCTCTTGAAAATTTATTTGATTCGCAGTCATGTTCTACACATGTTGTGTACAAATCGTCAAACAAACGTACGAACTTCTGACTTCGACTTCGCGGACTGCCGCCTCCCAACCGCCCTTTTCTTCCTCACCGCTCCCCCAGATCTTTCCACCGCCCCCAGGGGAGCGATATCGCCCACTTTGGGAACCACTGACTTAATCGATGAAATGCGTCAATAGTAATAACTTACATTTCTCTTATGTTACCTCTTTGTATGCATACCGTCTGTTAAATCAATCACTCTAGGCTTCGAGATCTGTTCAACCATACGCTGAAATAAAGAAATATTCTTTTCTTTATTGTTGCCTCTTTCAATACAAATTTCATAGTACATAGAAATAAATTTCCATGTACTTGTCAATTAATGATACAAATGTTTGCCCCCGTTTGAATCCACGTAGTATAACTGAATACATTGAATAATATAAGTTCTTGCATCAACATGTAAGATGTAATATATCATGAGTAAGAGTATTCAATCTATAAGCTAATAAATAAATAATAGGTGTGTGCCAACAGTATTTTGCTAGGGGACTGTTCGTCAGAAGTCACATATTCATTTTACAATTACGGGAAGTTCGGGATCAGGACGCAGGTTGTTATCGGTGGTTATATATAAGTAAATTGGGCAATAATGACATTATGCCTAGGCTCCAAAAAAATCGTCGAATCTCGCGTATCATATTCCATAGTTTCTATTAAATTCTATTCCTATTAATATAATAATATTAATATATTAACATTTCTGACTGAAAATTTACAATTTGTCACCACGTTACATTCCTACTCAAAATATATATTATCTTAATTTATGAAATGAGCATCTTATTTCCTATACGTATTTTGAACTAATTTTGCACGCTGTTGAATATTTCTTTCAATAAACGTATTTCGTGATAACAAGAAAGTTCTGCTACTCTTATAATCATTTTAAATTGAGTCAAAGCCTCGCGAACGTTGTCCAATTTATTGATATCTCTTTCTAAATAAATAAACTTATAATACTACGTTGTAACGGCCAGGTACGTATAACGGCCAGGTGCTTTACACAAGATTACTGAAAACAAACAACATCGCAGAGCAGCGGTAATCACCGCGGTATGTCCGAGATATAAGCAAGCGAGCAGGAGTTTTGCTTTCGTTTACAGCGCATCTTGACGCCGCGCTGCCGGCCGCGCCTCACGTCGTCCAGGAGCTGCAGAGAACCCGAGTCCCCGAGCACGTGGGCGAACCCGGCGCTGGGGGGAGAAGCGCAACACGTGAGTAACAAGTGAGTAGCAAACGCTGGGGGGAGAAGAGTAACAAGTGAGGGAACAAATAAAAATGATTAGCAGAAACTGGGGAGAGAAGAGTAACACGTGAGTAACCAGTGAGGGAACAAGTGAGTAGCAGGCGGTAGGGAGAGAGAACTGATTATTTCCCAGCGCTGTGGGAAAAGCATTCGAGTATCTAACAGTGTAAGGGGACGAACTCGTGATTTAAAAGAGTTGTAAACGAGATTAAGTCCCGTATAAGTAAGTACCGGTTGTTATATAAGAACTCGGTGGTGTGGGCAGACGAGAACATAACAGAACAAAGTGCGGTTGTGCTAAGAACACAGGAATATTCAGTGCTGCTGAGTGAAGAACACTCGAGTTCCTTGTGCTGTGGTTACTTAGAGCGTTTGTTCGTCTTTATTCTGTTAGAGAAGAAAAGAAATGACACAAATATTACAGATTAAGTGCATTCCCAGTCAAGCAGCATTGTGGGCAACGAAGTCGATTATTGCGGGTTATGTCATAACGCGGAAGATCCACCCGCCCCCTGGCCCCTCCTCCCCCACGTGGCCGCTGCCCCCCTCCTCCCCTCCGCCAGTGCTGTTCGTGGAGGGGGCGGATGAGGGGTCCTGGGGGGCTGTGGCCCAAACCATCACCTCCCTCGCCCCCCCTGGCAAGAGGTGCGTAGCCCCCCGACCCCCGCGGGGGGAAATAGAGTCTTGGGGAATACACCCCCGACCCCCGCGGGGGGAAATAGAGTCTTGGGGAATACATCCATGTGGGGAATTATATGGGGAATACATCACATCCCATCCATACATCCATATTCCCCTATGGAATACATCCATAGTCCTTGGGGAATACAAATCCATTTGTTATACATCGTATAGTCATACAGTGTATAGTATACATCGTATAACACCTGCATAAACACTATACGTGGTATAGTACCCAGTCAAGCAGCAATGTGGGCAACGAAGTCGATTATTGCGGGTTATGTCATAACGCGGAAGATCCGACCACTCTACGATTTGGCAGTCGAATTTCCCTAAACAATCTTTACAGATTTACGGCAAACTATCGACTGTGGGTTTATCGCTGATGATCGAAGTAAATGAGAGTAGGCAACTCAACAAACAAAGTGCAAAAAAATTATCTGCAAACTTTTTGTTTGGCTATTCATTCTTTTAGATTAATTAATCTAAAATTAATATACATTTTATAAATTTTAGTTTGATATGATATGAAAAAAATTAATTCATGATTTTATGATAGCAACTAATAATTGACTATGTTACTGATTATTAATCACAATTGATTAAGTTATCACCGTAACTATTATCTAAAAATTTACTTCCTGCATCGTTACTACCAGCACTGTTACTGCCAGTACCGTTACTACCATCAAAGTTACTACCTGTACCGTTACTACCAGCATCGTTACTACCAGCATCGTTACTACCAGCATCGTTAGCAGTGAAATTGTTTACTCCGAAAATGAATACAACGATCGTCTGTTCTACTCGTCGCCTGGCGAGGCTCGAGGCTCGACGACGTGAGCAGTGACCGCATGCCTCAGTGATGGTAGTGCGGTTGGACGCTATAAGCGTTGTCCTGACAAGTGCTCGCATTTTCATTCCCTGCTTTCTTGTGCCTTTTAATTACAATTTATTTCATTAGAAGAGTGATAGTAGTGAGTGAATGTGATATTACTGTGGCCTAAAATATTACCGCTTATTTGACAATTTCGTCATACTTTTTAGTTCCTCAAAAAGGAAGACCAACTGCCGCTTGGCATTCTCGTTCGCGCCACTATTTAAACATGGCGCCAAGTGCGAAAGTGAGGGTTGCTTGGCGCGAAAGTATGTTTTAAAGAGAAACTGACCTGATATACAATTTCTTATGTGTGCATAATAAAATTAATTAACAATGCAACGTAACACGGAAATTAATGAGATGGAATTAATTTCCGATTACGATACCACGATTTCTACGTTACTGTTTCTGTTGCTGCTAATGTTACTGTTGTTACTGTTATTACTGTGGATGCTGTTGTTACTGTCGTTACTGTTATTGCTGTTGTTACTGCTGCTGCTGCTGATGTTACTGTTGGTGCTGTTGTTGCTGTTGCTGCTGTTGTTACTGTTGATGCTGTTGCTACTATGTTGTAATTGATGTTGCTGCCGCTGCTGTTGTTTACTGTTGCTGCTGATATTACTGTTTCATCCGTTGTTACTGCTGCTGCTGATGTTACTGTTGCTGTTGTTACTGCTGCTGCTGATGTTACTGTTGCTACTGTTATTACTGTTTCTGCTGTTGTTACTGCTGCTGCTGATGTTACTGTTGCTGCTGTTATTACTGTTTCTGCTGTTGTTACTGCTGCTGCTGATGTTACTGTTGCTACTGTTATTACTGTTTCTGCTGTTGTTACTGCTGCAGCTGATTTTACTGTTGCTGCTGCTGTTGCTGTTACTGCTGTTGTTACCGTTGCTACTGTTGTTGCTGTTGCTGTTGTTACTGTTGCTGCTGCTGTTGCTGTTACTGCTGTTGTTACATCGTAGAACTATATGATATGACACTGCAGTTTGTGTGCCGTATAGTTGTATATACGTATACATCGTATATATAACTAGTTATACATCGTATAACTGTACGATATGACACTGCAGTTTGTGTGCCCAGGTTCGAGGGACTGGCGCTGCGGGGCTCCAGACTCAGCGCCGCGCAGCTGCCGCCGCTGCTGCGGGCGCTGAGCGACGCCAGGATCAGGACGGACGACTACGGGGGAGACACGCGCGCCTGGGTGCACGGGTGAGTGGACGGCGGCCACTGAACTGTGGGCCAATATTCCTATATCTCTGGGGGATATTCTAATATATAGACTTCATTAAAATTATAAATAGAATACATTATAATTATATTATATTCTAATATGTAGACTACAATGATAATGGTTATGTGTGATGTGACTGATGGCCGCCGCAAAATAAAACAAAATGGCGGCCGATGATGATGGACCGGCCACTCAGATGGCGGCCAATCATTGGACACAGCGCCATCATCACAACAATCATTATCGTTTGGCATATCAGAATAATGATATGGCGTCATTATTGTTAGTCCTATATCTTAAGCCTAAATTCTTTTTAATTATATATAGTTTAATTATTTATTATGTAATCATGTAGGATTCTATAGAATTATTTGGGATAATTGTAAGATAGGATGAAAATTATGCATAATTTTATTAAATTAAATAATACATATAAAATATTGTTCATAATAAAATTGGGGATGTAAATATACGATAATATAATATAATGTTATATAATCCTAATGTAATAAATTGTATTATATTGAAAGAAATATCTTATATATATTATTTAATATAATAAAAGGATAAATAATTGTATTCCTATGGCTTAATTGTTCCAATATATTGATTCTATATAATCCGATATGGTTATATTGAATTTATATATCCATGATAATTATCTCATCTTCAAAATATTAACGATAAGATGATGGCGCTCTGTCGTTGGTCGCCATTTGTCGGGCAATGATAGCGCCACACGAGATGGCGGCTGCTGGCATGCCACATGCCACATGCCACGCAGGATATTCACTGCCGCACTCCCACAGGTCGTTTGTTCGCCTCCGCATCGCGCCCCGGTGGCCCCCGGGGGGACCAGAGGTGCCCAGTGACGCCGAACTGCAGGCGGCGTATTATAGATACCTGCACCTCTGAGGACAATAATGTGTGTTTTGTGTGAGATTATTGAGGCTGTGTGTGTGTTTTGTGTGTGATTAATGAGACTGTGTTTGTTTTTTGTAGGATTAATGAGGCTGTGTGTGTTCTGTATGACACACGGAAGTCACTCACTGTTCTGTCATTAATATATAACCTCACTCAAGGCCTAGCCAGTCTATCTGCAGTTCGATATCATTTTACATAATTAGTGTTTACGTGGTTTTATTTGTAATGCAATTAGTTTGATATTTTGTTGAACGAGTTTTAATTTATGAACATAATTCTTGTTTTGTTACAGAGCAGAGCAGAGTCACTCTCGTCGCTTGTGACGATATGGTGAATGATGGTGATGGTGATGATGATGGCGATGGTGATGGTGATGGTGATGGCCATGTCTGCACTTCAGAATGGATTTGCCAACTCCTGGGTTCGTTCTTCTATGAATTAGATTACGTTTAGCGGAATATCCGAGAGTGTTCATTTGAAACTGATTGTTGCAGTTAGGTTTACGGTGTGCGATTATCAGAGAAAATTTCGCTCTTCGACGCAAGGGTCGCAGTCTTTTTGCCCGTGCGCAATCTTGAAAATTTTTGTGAAGTAGCAGGAAAAATCTTGCAAAGACGTTGTGGAGATGAATATTAAACAACAATTAGATAATCATGTTGATATAAATCTTTTGTAATATGTAGGGTAACATGGGGCAGCGAGCCCACTGCGGGTCACGGGCCCATAGCGGGTTTCTCGCTAAGTATGGCAGATATTATAAAAAAGTGGGGGGCGCGCTGCCCCACGTTACCCTATTAAGTATGAAATTGTTATTCCTGAGCCTGTAAACTGTCAGGAGTGTTGATGCTGAGATCAAGAAACGAATAGATTACGGAATTGTCAATACGTCAGTGAGAATAGCCTGTGATGATCGTTCTAAATTGTGATGTTTCTTTGCGTTGGACCGTTGGTTTTTGGAAAGTCAATAATTTTCTCAAAACAGATAAGTATTCCAATGCTGAATGATGAAAGTGTGGTTAACTAGACTCAAAACTGAGCTAAGTGCATTGAAAAGGTAGTCTTAACTTAAGTATTTCCGTAAATTCCTTTGACTGATCAATTAATTAAGTACGAGTATACTACTTTTGGTATTTATAATGTTCGGTACGAATTCAATGTTCCCTTTGTTAGAAAATGTGCGGATTTACTTGTAATACTTATGATTATTTGATCTTGATTTACTGACTTGTATTTGTGTCTTAAAGTCTTGCATCATTCATTTATTAGCGTTACGTTGTTATCCCTGTAGTTATAAGAGCGAAGTAAGCCTCTTGTTGCTCACGTCTTCCGCCAGGGCGTTTCTCGCCACCAAAATTACATGAGGGATTAATTAGACTTTCTGTTTTGTGTGGGATTTACCAGACCGTATTTGTGTTATATATGGCATTAATTATTCTAATAAACATGTGATTGAATTTGCCACAAGCGTTTCATTCGCCATAGTCGCCATAGTCGCCAGGGACTCGGCGACTAAATCGTGCTATAGGGACCATGAGATGCTAGGACCATGAGATGCTAGGGACCATGAGATGCTACGGACCATGAGATGAGATGGTCACGGTCGTGATGGTGCCGTGTCCCGACCACGACACGTGCCGCCGTTTGTATTATTAGTAGTCACACGAAACAAATTATCAACATATCATTCAAAATAAGAAAACTATTTTCTTCCATACCAGGCCGAGACGCTGTTCTCTACGCCTCAGTTTGCCTGCAGGTAAATGCAAAGCCGAGGTGAGAATTTCGTTAGAGTTTACGAACAATATGCATTTCGCTACACATGAGTGGATCGCTATTAATAATGGAATATATTGTGTTAAACCAAATCACTAGTTATCAATATTAAATAATTTGCGTTCTGCTACCTGGGAGGAGAAGCAAAGCGTTGTTACCACTGTGTTTCTCATGGAATTTAAAACGTAATTTGCTTGACAATGCGACTTCCCTGCAATGAAGCGAAAAACTAAGTTTGAGAAAGTTCCTGAAAGTATTTAATAGGATTTACTTGATAGTCTTCAGAGTTGAAGGATATTTTTGTGCTAGTATACTGAAGTTATACACACCAAATTACATAATATCTGATGGGTCTAACTTCTGACCCGGCAATAAAATCTGAAAAAAACGAGGTTTCACATCCATTGCGTTTAATAATTTTTATAGAAATATATTAAAATATTTTTAAAATTTACTGTTCACACGTTGCAAGATAAATTTTTGCTTTCCTCAGTCACTTTTCGACCGAGAATAGAAAATTGAAACTTGATCGTAGAAAACGAATTATTTAGGAAAAGTTCGTCCGTACACGACAGGTGAACTGCGCCCCCAGCCTGCGTCACACCCGACAGGTGACCTGCGCCCCCAGCCTGCGTCACACCAGACAGGCGACCTGCGCCCCCAGCCTGCATTGCACCAGACAGGCGACCTGCGCCTCCAGTCTGCGTCGCACCAGACAGGCGACCTGCGCCCAGACATAACCTTTCCACCAGACATAGACATCACCGCGATACAGACATAACGTCTCTCCAGACAGAGACATCACCGCAATACAGACATAACCTTTCCACCAGACATAGACATCACCGCGATGCGAAGACATGATCACGCATCATGAAGCATACAAGTATACTCATGGCATATACAAGGTCCCAGAAGGAATACTAGAATTTGAAACAAGAACCAACACCAGGGCCAAGGCTATAAACTAAAAAAACTGCGTTGTAACACATCCATGCGACAACATTTTTTCTCGCTTCGAGTCACCGACATGTGGAACAGCCTCCCTGATAGCATCGTTGAGGCTCCGAGTATGAACGCCTTCAAGAACAGACCAGACGAAACTATGCAGGAGCATATGTTCAGTCTTAAAATGCCTAGCAAATTACGGGCCAGGCAATAAGTCCAGCAGCTATCTCAATCAATCGTCAGTTATGGAAAGATCGGGTTCCAAAGGCCGGATCCCTTGTGAATCAAGTCACGAAAAATTCAAGAATCGGCAACTGGCCATGGGCCTATTTCTTCAGTGACGACACTTCTATTTTAGTCTATTCTGTCATGAGCCTCCCTCCTCAGGGGGCCGTTATCTCAACTGATAAGATAAGACCTGCCGGGGCTCACGTAGGCGGAGCGCCCAAGTAAGAGCCAGCAGGACCATTACTTCGATTATCTTTATTCCATATATTATATATAGCTTATTATTCTATATATCATATATATAACTACATAACAGTATATAACTTATTTTTCTATTTGTATTAGAAGTGTAATGGCACGAGTCATTTCGAGAGACTTAATTGATATATTGTAAGTTCTATTTTCATCAAATGACACAAGTATATCCATAACGAACTACGCTACAGCTCAGAGTAACGGCTACTGCAAAATGCTTGATAAGTATCGAAGTTTCTTGATGAATATTTTATTATTGTTATTCTATATAGTATAAATAACTATAAATAAGTTGTTATTGCATATTGCATTGTTATGGATAAGGAAGTTTGTTTGAGCGGCCGTTTGCTGGAACATATAGCAGCGCGTTCAAATGAAGTGGTTAACGGAACGATGTAATCATCACGGCCGTGGCATATACTTGTGTCATTTGATTACATCATTTCGAGAAAGGAACCATTCGGAATATTTTCTGTGCATAAATTTTACTATCGAAGTCAGCCATAGAAAACTGAATATTTATTGCTGGGCTCACAAATTGTGAACTATATTGAGAGCTGTACTCACTAAATGCGAACTATATTACACGCTGTACTCGCTAATTTTGAACTATATTACGAGCTGTACTCACTAATTGTGAACATGTGAACTATATTACGAGCTGTACTCACTAATTGTGAACTATATTACGAGCTGTACTCACTAAATGTGAACAATATTAGCTACCGAATTAAGGTTCAGTTCGCGCTTCGTCTTCTCGCGGTCTTCAGTTTCATTGCGGTGAATAAAGAGCGAACCTGCCGAGCCTGGTTTGGCCATTCAAATTATGCATGCATTTAATGGAGGGCAATGAACTCAACTAACATTGAAACAGAACCTGAACCTTTGAAGATATAATTAAATGTCGTACATATATTATAATTACACGTTCAATATCACAATTAGATCAATTCATTCATTTATTTTCTGAATAATTATAATACACCAGCAATCTGCTCTGTCAGTGTGCTGAACTAAAGCGCCTCTCCCCCGCGCTGTTATCTCCAGGGCCGCTATAAGATAAGGAGGGCGCTGCCCCGTGCCAGGTTAATGGAAATAATGAATATTTCGTTGGTCACAACACATTAATGGAAATAATGAATATTTCGTTGGTCACAACACATTAATGGAAATAATGAATATTTCGTTGGTCACAACACATTCGTGTCTTGAAAATGTGAGCAGATCAGCTAGTATGTGTTTCTGCCGCAAATTGATCTGGATTTCTGTCTCCAAATGGAATGTTTGTAATAAGTTGAGGTTGTTTGCATTACCGTGCGTGTGATCAGGCATATACCTGCATGCTCGCTCCTCGCTGCTGGCGTCGCTTCCAGTCAGCTTTCATTAACTCTCTACTGTAGTGAAAAGTTAAGATATTGAACTAACTAAGCATCGTCCACTAGTTCTTATTAAGGGGATTGTCTCGGTCATAAATCGAAAATTTTGGCTCTTCTGGTTTTTAGGCTCATTTAAAGGTCCAAGAATTGCTCATTTACACAGCCCAAAGTCATGTTTGTGCGTTCTTTTGTTCGTTCACGACAGCCGTCGAAGCGCAAGTAAAATCTATTCAAGTAAAATGATCACAAATTTCTTTTGGAGCTCTCCTGAAAATTTGAAATTTTCTGATCGCAAACCTATCTCATCCTAAGATTTTCAACCTAACTTACGTACCATTTACGTACCATTACGCACCATTACGTACTATTCGTTTCGTAGGAAAAATCTATAGAGATCAGTCGGTCATTTTTTCGACTTCTTTGTTGTTTTGATCATACATATATTGAAAAAAGGATGGAAGAATCAAAATTGAAAAAAATCAGCAAAAAAATAGACTAAAAAATCGAAAAAAATTACCGGATGAACTTTGGATGTGGCCTTTTCGCATCGAATTATATGTCTATCGATGTTGCAGCTAATTGAAAATCCTAGGAAGAGATAGATTTCTACAGTACCCTCTTTTTCTGCCGTTTTCTATGAATTTCATGTTCTCTTTCATTTTTTAATTTACATGAACAAAAAGTCATTGATTTCTATTTTACAGATGTGTACCAAGTTTCATAAGGATTTGTCCCTAAATAAAAAGTTTTTTTACCGACATGCTCCTTTAAGCTGATTCAAAGGATCTTTGCAATTTTAATATGAATTATAATTTATATACAGTTAATCTATCAATCAAGTTCATCTATGCAGTTAATATAGCTATAGAATTACTCTATCTAAACAGTTAATATAATGATGGTATAATACACGTGTAAACTATCAAAGAACAGCAGCCAAACATCAGATGATGACATGCGGACCAAGCCTCGCAGGATACAAGATGGTGAGATTGGATCTGAAATTACAGGAAAATATAGCAGTTTTTAATATAAATAAGATTATTATCAAGTGAGTTGTGACATGTCAACCACCAGGAAAATATGACAGTTTTTT